CCGGGCAATCCTGTCCAAGCTGCTCCGGTGGAAGGGCTCAGGCTCATCTTTAACCTGGGAAGGCAGCGAGCGGACTGCGTTTGTTGGGGTCCTGGTGATACGGATCCCATTCGGTCTCTCGGCTGAATGGAAGAGCTCTGCCGCGCTCTGAGCAGAAGCAGGCACCTCTCCCTTCTGTCTCTTGACCAGAGGCCACAAAACCCCTTGTCCAGTCCCCTTCTGCTTACTGCAGTCATGTAAATGAAGTGCAAGCTGCTAAGGTGGAGCTGTTGGGTTGGCCTCAGCTGGGCAGCTGTCCTCTGCCTTCTCCCAAGCTGGTGGCATGTCCTGTTGTCCCTGCTGGGAGGTTTTGCAGGGCTGCTGTGAGTTTGGTGAGGGGGTGGGCTTGGGGGCTGTGTCCCCGGGGGCTGTGTCCCGGGGGCTGTTTCCCAGGGCTGGGCTCAGCCTCGGGCAGCCGGAGGTGATGCTTTGTGCTTCTGGCATCTTCCCGCTGCTCTCCCCAGCTCACTCTCTCCCTGCGTTTCTCTTCCCAGCGGGATGACATGGAGGCAATCCCGGGATACCTGTCCCTGCACCAGACCGCCGACATCATGGCGCTGAAGTGGACCCCCAACCAGCTGATGAACGGCTCCGTGGGGGATCTGGACTACGAGAAGAGGTGACTGGCTCCGAGCGCACCCCCGCGCAGGGCAGAGGGGAGGCCAGTTCCCCGGGCTCAGGGTTTGGATGGGGTGTCCAAGGCCAGCAGAGAGTTTTCCCACTGACTGTGAAGCAAAATAATCATTCTCCAGTCTGTACCGGGAAGGGACGGGGAAGGAGGCCCGAGGTGGGGGGAGATGGTGTTTGAGGTGCTGTAGGATTGCCCAGAGGGTGCTTGTTCCGAAAGACGGTGCGTGCCGTTCTGTAGCACGGGTTCGATGCAGGCTGCAGCTGCTCCTACCTGCACGTATTCCAAGCCCCTTGGATTTACCGGAGTCTCTGGAGCTTGTTCCTCCAGGGAGCCCGCAGTCTGCTTGGTTTGCTCGGCAGGGTGGTTTGCCATCCCCTCTTGCCTGGGATTGCCTTTCGGGCTGCTGGCATTGCTTTCGATAGCTGCGGTCCTTACAGAGTGACACCAGGTCCCCATTTGCCCGAGAAATGAAACAAAGCAAACAAAATCCCTGTCCACCAGCAAACGCTCCAGGACAGCTGGGATGTGTAGGATTCTGAGTCTTTGACCTGGGGTAAAGGTCCTCTTCAGCAGAACTCGTTCTCAGTTTTGTTTATTCTCAACTGTAGCTTTTTGGGTTTTGTTTACCTGTGTTCTTTTCATCTCCCCTTTCTTCTTGGCCCCTGGGCCACTCCATTACACCTGGTACCCTCCCCCTAAAATGCTGTTTTCCTCTTTACACTACTTGTCTGAGTTCTTGACTTGGGCATCAGCCTAAGCTCTAAAACTTCCCAGTGTCAAGATGTGACCAAGGAAGAGAGGAGTCAGATGACAAAGTAAGTATGAACCTGCAAGGAATGGCTCTTACACACCCCTTCCCATCCTTCACCGGCTTTGTGAGCCGTTATTTCAAGCACTATTTTTGTAAAGTGGCAGATAGTGCTGCTCAGAATCTGTAAGCTGCTTTGTTGTGAAGAAGCAGGGAGTTGTTACACGCTGACACCCTCATGGGGCACCGCTCTTGTTGGGCTCTCCGTGGAAAACAAACCCTGCGTGGGGCCACGCGTCTCCTGGCGAGATCCCCTTCCCCGGCGTCCCCCCGGTGTCCCTCTGGCCCTGCTGGTCGGCCAGCAGCTCCCCAGCATCTTCTACATGTGCTCAGTGCTGAGGGAGCGCAGTCCTTGAACAGAAGCAACTGGGACCAGATCTATATTCAGCTTTGAAACCCCCCCGGACTGCGAGGGTCTATTTCCCCCTCCCTTGGGCGCAGGAACAGCCTGGGGACGGCCCTGCGCGATCCCCTGGGGCTCCTGCCGGGTTCCCAGCACCGCAGCAGGGCAGGGAGCCCTTTCCAGCCCTTTCCAGGGTGCCCGGGGAGAGTGCTGAGCTCGGCAGGGCTCCGCATCCCTCCCTGCAGTTCCCAGGATCCGTGGACACGTTGGCTGTGTCTG